CAGCACTATTCCCTCCTCGAGTCGAACGCTTGAGATCACCCCCCGCAAGTGGCCAGGTACCTATCCCCACAATGTCGAAGCGATCAGTCTGAATCTCGACTTAGATCCCGGCCGGCCACATCGCCGCCCTTCTGTACGACTCGGAAACGGGTGCAGCGAGGCTTGTGGCTTTCCCGCATTCGACCCTCAACGCGGCCTGCGAGCGGGAGGATCTTCTTCCTCTCCTGCACAACAACACACTCTCGTGCTCGCTCTGCGTTCGGCCCAACTTCCCGCATGTCGATGGCTCCTTCACCATGCTTTTGACCTGCCCCCATTCTCCCGATGACAGTCCCTTCTTCTCAGCCAACGCCGCGATCGAGGCGATCTTGCCTGAGGAGAAGAACCAGGATACCCCTCGCCCCCCACTCGGGAACGTTCTCGTTGTTCGTCATACACCGATGCCCGACAACCCAGATGAGGAGGAACCTGCCGAAAATGACGCTGCCGCCGCTGCCGCGGTCTTTAGAGCTCGGTTGTGGTCTAGCCCTCTCCGCGATATCATCGTCGATGACGGCCCGCTCATCCATGGTGCCATTTATCAGTGAGTAACCTGCATCTTTATCGTCATAATCTCCATCCATTAATCGTCTATGTAGGTCACTGCTGCAGCTCGAGAAGCTCCCAGCGAAGTTGGATCCGTGGATGTACTTTGTCCCATATGAACTCGCTGAGCGACTTCATAATCCCGATGGTACACGTTTTTTCCCCATCCACTGGGGTTATGACTCCGAGTGATCGTTGTGCGGGGCGCTCTTTGGGTACTTGTACTGCTGCTGTTGTTATTGTTTTTGTAGCTTTGGACTTATAATATATATCTGCTTCATCTGTCCTCTCTATTTGTCTCCTTTTGGAAGAATGATGTCTCACGGCCTCTAGACGTTTGAGAACGAGAGAGTTTGCCGGATTAGGCAAGTCGGCCCCTAACTGTGCTGACCCTCATTGCGCTGCAACAAAGCTGAGCACATACAGGATAGAGACTAATTTCCTTTGTGGTCAATAATGAGTGCACCCACAGCACTCAACTATCGGCGATTAAGCATATTGCTGGCCAATAGCTCGCAACTCACCTGATTGCTTCATGGCGAATTACCATGGAGCTCACGACATTTCTGACCAAAATAAAAACGTACGTAGCCTGCGTTAGGATATATTAACCTCATAGGACGACCAGATTACCCATACATGAAGTTTCATTTTTCAGACCGACACCGTTTGGCCCACCCAAGGGCCGTCATTGGTCTGTGGGTCATGAAAATTTACTGGATAGATGTTTATGGTGCCTACTAATATACTAGAGCTCATTTGCGACCCACCGATAACTGTGTGTTCAGACGAATGAAGTCAGAACACCAAATAATAGGCATTGACATGTCTGGTCACACTTGGTTCCTCACTACCACCATGGCCTTTCAGCGGGCGAATAGTAGCGACGGCAGCTTTCGTCAACATCAGCGGCATATTATTCCCTCATTTCGCTACTCATAACTAACTTTGCTCCTTAGCCAGACAAAACAGCAGCGACAAAAGGTCCACCGCAATGCCTCAAAAGCCTACTATTCCCGACAGTCCGTGTCTGGAGCGTTCTGTCTTCTTGCTTCTGGCTGAAAATACTTTAGTCAAGTCAAGATTCTAGCAAATCGTCGAGCTAAACGAGCCCTCGCCGCCAACAAGGATGCTCCCACCACTCTTCTGCCCGTTCTTGAAGCTGAGGCAGAGCTAGAACGCGAGGACCATGCCCCAAGCGCCCCTCCGGCTGCGTCGGCCTCGGAAGAAATGCCTGCTGACGTCGCCAACGTTGCGCTGACTTTGGATCACTTGGAGCTACGGTCCGACCCGGAGTCGACATCGACATTTACGCGTCCTCGTTCCCCCTCGGAACTCTTCCCGTACTCGGCCACCCAGTTTGTCTTTTTTTTTACTTCAGCCCAGCTCTTTCAACTCACGTATGAGATAGTGTCGGATTCCTTCAACCCAGAACCCCCGTTCTTGAATGGCACGTATAGATTCAAGTTTGTCGCGCAATTATGCTTGCTAATTTAATCGACTCAGGGAAAGCGCACAGCTCCCTCGCGGCGTATCCCCCATATCAACAGAGCAGCTGGAGACATTGCAGGCCCTGGGTAAGTTTACATTGAGCGAGGTACAGAAGCAACAACTCCTGGTCGCCAAATTGAATGCGCCTTTGCTCACTCCACCGTCCGAGGAGCACGTTTCTCAATGGACAACGAGCGCGGCTGATTTTGGACCGCCTCAGCTCTCTGCGCTGCGACGAGACTCGATAGTGGCATGGTGCGATGCCGTGGATGCTGTTCCGCCATTGCAAAAACCCCTGGGCCTCGCCGTTTCCGGCCCATTTTTTTGGACACGCGTCAATGGGAAAGGCGAGATCCCCGAGGGATGCGGATGGACTGTGATGCGACTTGGCAGCAACAAATCTACCAGCATCTGTACAAGGCAATGTAATGTGATCTGGCGAATCTAATAAAGGTGCGTGACTCGTCTCGTCACGGGTCACGCATTTATCTTCTTGACCGAAATCATGGTATGGGCAGATGGCTTCTCCCTTACCCCCTTCCTCGGAACCCGTATAGTAGCGATGAAGAACCTCAAGGTAGGCGACGAGATCCTTTTCCTCGGCCCCAACTTGAAGCTTACGCGCCCGTACAGGCCGTTCACTCTCGTCCATTGACGCCGACACTGAAGAGTTTCGAACGGATGTCTCCAGCAGTGACGAGGAGTGGGGTGCCTCTCGTGAGTGCACATAATCGATGTTAAATATGAGCACTTACGATTCACAGCATCTCAGCCGACGCAATCGCAAGACCCTGGTTGTCGTGACAATCCATTCACCGACGAACACCTTCCTTCGACTCCTGCTATTCAGAAGGCGCTGCGAAAAAGGCCACGCACTCCAGAGTCGCCGTCACGTTCGTCTTGGACTCCAATTGTGTCCGAGTCATCTAACAATCTTTGCAGCGTCTCACCAACAACCAGGTCGCACCTTCATCGAAAACTTAGCGGCGCCACAGCCATCTCTTCTGCGTGCTAACGCGCAGCGCCCGGGTATACAACGTCTGGCAATTGGTTACTTGTCTCGCTTGTACTAATTTGTCCTTCAGAAAAAGCGCTCAGGGCTTTACTTCGTGTCGATACCTCGCCGGCCATATTTGCTCGAATGGCAACTGCCGCATTCGAAGCCGTCATCAACGCAGACGACCCCATTCTGCATGAGCAGCAAAACGACGACCCGAATATGGAGGAGGAACGCCAGGCTCAGCGTGTCGCGTTTTTACGGCGTTGCTGCATTACAGCCGCACTCGACTGTTTGGACCAAAACGACAGAGACGCTCCCTACGCTGTCATCGTGGAGCGCTCTCACCTTTATCTGGACGACAATCAAACCCCTCCTCTGGCCGACGTGGTGCTCGAACCGAATCATCTTTGCCGACTTTGCCAGCGCCTGAAGTCTCACGCAGTTCTGTGAGTTCGTCATTACCAGTCCGTATAACTATTGATGTCCAGCCAGTTTCATGTGCAACCACAGCTTCTGTTTTGTATGTGCGCGCATCCACCTTAACGTGTCATGGCGCTGCCCAGTCCCTCAGTGCTATGCAGTCCAGCATCGTTCTCCACTTCCCCTTCTCCCATTGCAACGGGAGATAAGTGCACTCTATATGGGGTTTCATGATTTTACTCGAGTGCGGATGGATTGGTCTGATGTTCGCTTTCCTCCCGCGCGTGCCACGGACCCTGGTTCATCCTAATCTCGATCATATCTGTCCATAGCAAAATTTATTTCGCTGTAGTTGTGAATCATTGAATCAGTGACCAAAGATCTGTCGCTCACCTGACCGCTTCTTCGTGACTACTCACCACACGGACGCTTCTCTGTGTTTAAGGTTTCAGGTGGGAAATCAGGATCGGCACAGTGCTTCCCGCAACCTACTTTTGGCGCAATGTTGCCGTATGATGTCCACGCTCGTCTGGGCAGCATGGGCCGAACACGTATGTAGCCAAACTTGAAACTGCAGCCTTATTTTGTAGATCCACCCTCCAGACGATTTAAAGCGCAGTCTGGTGCGTTTCCGAAAGTCGCGCCAACATTTCCGAAGCTCAAAACAAGATGGCACTGGTACTTTACCGTGGCACAAGTGGGCTTGGTCCATTCATAGCCCTTACAGATAACTGACGCAGTTTGAATCCCAGACAACCTGAAAGACTCAGACCGCCAACGGCAGACCTATAACAGCATCCCGCGCCACATTTCCGACCCAGTCGACTTGCTTTTGGGCGAGCGCTACTTTATGAACGACTACTCGAAGCTTCTTCCCAGTGACTGGTCATTGGTGACCTCTTACGATATCTCCTGCGATTGGCTCTGCCGCTGGAATAATTTTCTTTCGACTTCTCCACACCATTTCTGGACAGGCCAACCACATGCTCTTTATCTGCCTGAACTTCTCCCAATGATTACGTGCGGAGAGGCGATCGAAACGGAATGGGCTAGGTCCTTTTCTTCGTCGATCAAGCAATCCTGACTCTGATTTTTTTCCCCAGCGAAACCAGCCTGACGACCGCGATACAGTTCTGCCCGAGCCAATGTTCAAGGCTAAGCTTTGAAGCTGCAGATGTCGTAGTAGCGATGCTTGTAGTCACTAAAAATGAATGATTCAAATTCGCATTTGTGTCTGATCATCTCATCAGTATCTGCACGTGTCACTGTGCGTGCCATCAATTTGTCAACGCGTCTCACCAAGTACTGCCAAGGCTCTTCTGACCCGTTGTCCTGGTCTGTGTATTTGCCTTTGCCCTCCATCCACTCAATGTCTAAGCAGCGCAGGAGACAACCCAAGTTCCATGTTGGCGGTCTTCCTCCGAGCCAAGTACAAGGAGACACCACGATAGCCTTCTCAAGTGGCCGCAGAGTCGCATCCCGTCTGCTCAATGTCGTCCCCACGATGGCAACCCGTGCGCAGTTGACGGAGGATCTGGCCGAATGGATGCCTTTCACGGAGCTGGCCGACGACGAGCTGGCGGCAATAGCTCAGACGATATCTTCAGAACCACAGCCATTAGACGATGACCACACCTCCGGCAAACGGAAACGAATTGCTTCTGTATGCTCCTCTTGGGCCATATATATGCTTCTAACTGACTTGCTTCCACAGGAAGACCCGATGGCTCTTTGGCGCCGGATGAGCGGTGCCTATCTGGACGAGTTGCTACGAGGGGAATCTTTAGGGAGACACCACGGCCGACCCTCGTGTGCGGCCTGTGGCGAGATTCTCACCGAGAATGCCGAATCCCGCGCCTTTCGCTGCGTCGACTGTGGCCCCTTTCTGCAGTGTGAAGAATGTCTTCGCAATCGTCACGAGCAACTACCTTTACATTCTGTCCAGGTGCGTGAACGGTTAAATTACTGTTACTCTGGCCTAATACTTTCTTCGAGAAGGTCTGGACCGGATTCTGGCGCCAATGTACCCTTTTCAGTCCGTCCGTCTCACAAACAAGCATTGGTCTCGGCATGGTGTACCAACTGGGACACCACGGATTTCCATGCCCACATCCCGACCCGCGACTGCGAAGGATGGTTGTTCTCGATGCTGGAGGCGTTTTCAAAGTCGATATCAGGTACGCAACCAGTTTCTCGGTCTGCAAATCGAGCTGACAATCCCGAGATTTTGCGCGTGCAGTCACAGTCTGCGTCATAAGCATATGCACCTCTCTCAGTTACTCGACAACGCTTGGTATCCCCGCGACGACCATAGAACCCGCCACATGTGCCACATTCCGAGTTCTGGATCTATTTAGGACTCTCAAGGTCGTGGGGAACATGAACGCCCACGACTTCGTGGGTTCTTTGGAGCGATTGAGCAATGCGACATTCACGGAGCAACTCCCCGTATGTGCCGAATCTGTCTTCAGTTTTTAAGATAATTGACGCGCTGGTTAGGATCGCTACAAGGCCTTTGGGCGTATGAGTCGACAATATGATTTCCTTATGCGGGCTAAACGAGCCGGGCGTGGCCATGCGATGGATGGACTCGCAACTACGCCTGCGGGTGGTCTGGCCGTCCGTTGTTGGGCATGCCCAGATCCTGAGCGTAACTTGCCTGATGGATGGGAGAATGCCGACCCATCGAAATCGTAAGTTATTCAACCTACCGACCTCTGCGATGACGGAACTGACAAGGCTTAATACAGATACATTTACTCCTTAATGCTGGCGCTGGATGCCAATTTCAGACTGAAGAACCGCCTTCGCGCAAACGAGCGGCAAGACCCTGCCTTAGGAAATGGTCTTGGTTATTTTGTGGAGACCAACGAGTACAAGGAGCACCTGCGCCACTACGTTGCGGAAGAAGATGTGAGTTTTGTTGTTTCAAAGAGAATCATTTCTAACCCATTTGCGCCAGGTCAGCACCTGCATCGCCTTCGCCGCCTTGATGCAAAAGGAGACAAGACTGACCACTGGTCTCAGAGTATCGGGTGTAGGCGGATGTGTATGTGCCCGCCATGGCATCGTTCGGCCGTTAGGATTGGGGGACTTGCAAAAGGGGGAGCGGTAAGTGGTGACGAAGTCCTTTCATCGTCACTTATCCAAAATTGCAGCTATGCCAACATGGACTGGGTATTCCTCAACGCAGTCGGGGGGTTGGGGGTGCGACGACTGGTCATCTCCTACGACATTGCATGTCAATGGAAGCAACGCATACGGGAGCGAGCAACCAAACTCAGCAAGAACTCGGTCATTGTCACCAAATTGGACGATTATGCGCTACAATTCGCTCTTCCCGTCTGGCACGCGGTCGCGCACGAGTCAAGTTGTCAAGCCGCCAATTCCTTGACCCATGCAGTCGGTGTCGGGAGAACGGATGGAGAGGGCATTGAACGCACATGGGCAATCCTTAATCCTATTGGATTCTCTACAAAGGAGATGGGGGAAGGCAATCGACACGACACAATCGAAGATAAGATTGATCATGTCAATTTCGAAAAGAACGTGAAGCAAGGTTAGATCCAATATTGTCGCTGGTCGCAACTAACTCAAATGACAGGAAACACACTTGCGAGGAAGATGCTTATTGCTTTGGCGGAGCGGGAGACGCAAATCAACGAGTTCGCGGAAGTTGACGACAGCTTGGAATCATCCTTGCGCGAGCAGTGGCAACGTCAAGTAAATGCCTGGAATGCGGACAATACGAGCCCGAACCCCTACGTTTCGACGGCTAAGCATGGTAGGTTGTCAGCGACAAAAGAGTATGTGCGCTTATATGTCGTTTGCAAAGCTGGGCCTTCCGAGGCTCAAATTCTGGCAGAGTTGAAGAAGGCGGAATTGGAACAATTGCGTAGCGGCCGCGGGAATGAATTGGCAGCAGGCAGAACAACGGCGGCGGCATTCATCAAGGGTGCATTGCAATTGGAGGACCAGCAGTATGTCATTTATTATTTGAATTCGTCAGTGCTGTTGACACTCGCTAGACGTCGCATTCGCTTCGAATCCAGTGGACAAACGACGCTGACAGCCGAGCGTTCCAGCCAGCTCGATGAATTGCGTGTATCTGTGCTGAAGAAACTGCATACACTGCAAATGCACCAGATGGTCTTCATGCCAGGTGTTGAGGAGCTGCGAGCTGCAGAGGAAGAGCGCCGTGATGTGGATGCTGCTCCCGCCCCAGCGGAGGTTGCGAAACTGTGGCTCCCGAGCGACCTATCAATGGAGCAACGTGAGGCTGTTTGCCGGCCAACGTTGGTGGAAACGGAGGCCCAGTTGCGTCTTGGACAATGCAGCGACACCCTAGCCAAGATTCGAGGTCATCTCCATGCGAAAACCCACCTAATCGACACTCGTAATGCCAACGCCGTTGGGCAAAACTCGAGCACCAGGTTCGGCACCTTAATCGGGCGAGTGGGGGATCAAGCGCGGCGTCAAGCAACGAAATATCGAGAAGCCAGAGCGGCTCTGGTGCGTTTGAAGGGGCCAGAATTTGCACCCCAGTTCCGAGAGCTGCATGACGATGATTTACGGGTGCATATCGAATCAGAGAGCGTCGCAGGCCCGAGCGGCATTGGGCAAGCTGGGCTCGTCAAAACGTGCGCGCAATGAACCCTCGTTGACGAAGAAGGTGGTGCCTGTCTCATGGATATGGTTCGCAGGGGGGGAGGCGAATAAAGAAGAGCTTCACGATTGTGGGTGGTTTCAAGCGCTCATTTCATTTTGGCTAATATACATTGGATAGCGGTGCGTGTTCAATGGACCAAATCACTCGCTCGACGTGACCGCTGGATTGAAGAGGTACATCTATTGCGGGAGGAGATGCGGCGAGTTATCAAGAGTATCGAGGTTTTGCGGGGGGAATGGAAGGAACGCGAGGATGCAAGGACCGAGGTGGACGAGGAATTGGCGGCAGGATTGATGGCGTACGCCAAGCGTCAGAGCTTCGTCTACGGGGAGGTCGAGAAGGCCTTTCGGGGCATCTGGAGTGCCTCCACTGTGGCGGCAATCCGGCGCAGCTGCAGATAATAGCGCTGAGCCAATGACGTCCAGCAGCTGACACGGCTGAGCTGACACACGGACCGCTGTAGCGTTACTGCTGTATTAGGACATAAATATTGATCTATCATCACTCATGAACAAGGGACTGATCTGTAAATCTAGCCGAGCTCGGCTGTGGTTAGGTTTTTTTCAGAGAGGGTTTGAAGTAGGGGGAATTTGACAAATGCACTAGCTCAGCTCAGCCTGGCAGGAGCTAGCGGATTTGACACCGGGTTGCCTGGCAGTTGCTAAGACAGTTGTCAAATGCTGGCAACTACAGGTGGAGGGCTTTCCCCCAGCATGACCGACAGTCTGGTTGTATATGGACTGGCCTCAGCACGACCGCTCTTGCTGGTTGTAGAGGGCTTTTCCACAGCACGACCGACAGTCTGGTTATATCGGGCGACGTCTCAGCACGACCGCTCCCTTGCTGGTTGTAGAGGGCTTTCCCCCCAGCATGACCGACAGTCTGGTTGTATATGGACTGGCCTCAGCACGACCGCTCTTGCTGGTTGTAGAGGGCTTTTCCACAGCACGACCGACAGTCTGGTTATATACGGGCTTGCCTCAGCATGACCGCAATTGCCTCAGTACTTGATTATGTATTGCAGACAGCCTGGCCTATTCAAACTTCTCTAGCAAGTTTCTCAGCTTCCACATATTTCCTCATCTGATTCACTTTTTAGTCTCCCCACAAACTTGACCACAGGTAACTTGTAAAATCTATGTCATGCAGGCAGATACACTAACTACAGAAGGGATCCTTCCACATCATCCCAAATCACCTCCCCAGTTGCTACTGATCTCATGGGCAACAATGATGTGCCTCTAATTCCAAAGATGATGCGAGGTATGCTTGAAGCGCGTGAGTTATGTGCGAAATTCAGTGGACCAACATGCTCACTAATCCTAAAGATGGACCTTTCTCGCGTCACGAACGATGACGATCACATTTGCTACCACAGGAGCTCAGCCAGGACAGACTCCCACCGCCAATCAACTCCAACAACGACCACAGTCCGGGTGGGAGTCTGGGGACAACGACAACCAACTTCAAAGCGCAACACAACTTGGTTGATGCTGCTATCAAGACAACGGTGGGCGAACTGTGACCTCTGTATCGTCAGCGCAAGCGTGTCAGCGACATGTGCCAGGTCCGAAGCACGCTGTCTGGGTGTTGAGCAAAGTTGGAGGAGCACAGCACGTGCCCAGATCCTGCTCAACAGCTAGAGTGGTGCGCGTGGGCGGTCCTGCGGGCGGGAGGAAGGAAAGAGGCGCTCGTTGATCAGCAGCACGCGCACGTGCCCGGTCCCAACACCGACGACGCCGGTTGCTTTCCCATGTTCTTCTCTTCTTCCCCACCTCTATACGCTCAGCTGCTCGTCGTCAACAACGCCGTATTTTCTGGGGGCAGTCGCAAACAGCAGCTGCACGAATGCGCGGATCTCGGAGAACTGAACCATGCGTCGCTACCCTGGGCCTGTCAACAATTGTGGGCAAGACAATGAAATGTAAAGCAGCACATACCAGTTTGCTGACGCGCCAACACCAGAACTTGAAGTCGGTCTCGCGGTCCATACCCAAGACAGGCTCGCCAGCGGACAATGCCACCGTCAGCCCGCTCAGGATAGTGAGCAACCATTGCATCTTGTTATGGTCTACCACGTAAGTGAGTAGCTTATAGTACAAGAGTGATGACAAGACTCACCTAGTTCAATAGTAACTAGACAGAGCTGGGGCTACGCCCCAGCTGTGAAAAATGCCACTAAATACAGAATAGCACCCAGGTGAAGCATGCCCAGTGGCCTTCTTAACTATCTGGTCTACTATTGTTCATATAGATTGCAACCCAAGGAAGTAGATTTTATGTGCTTATTTAACAATTTGTCAGAAAATTAAAGTATGCTGTACACCCTTAGATATTAGCCTAGTAAGTAACCCATAATAATAATAATAGTAATAATGAAGCCCATGTGGCATCAAAACTGAGTGCCGGGCAGCTCAACTGGCCAATGGGGGAGATGTGTCCATGCTACTGGGGGCAAGATCATGATGTCATATGTAGCTTTATATCCCAATGAGGATTGGTCACATTTTACAGCTTTTCTTACCAATTCAGGGCTTTAACAGCAGTGATCCCAAAAATAGAAGTGTGGAGCAAATAAATTGCTAAGGCCAGTGCCAAACATGTGCATACATTCACACGACATCTGCTTAATGTAAGAGTAATGAGGAGCGACTCGACACTCCCCTTTGGCCTGTCAACAACTTGAACAGTGAGTAAGACTAAGCCAGCGCTCAGCAACACCTACCTCAGGCTGACGCGCGCTCCGAAGCCTCCGCTACCGCTCGCGCTCGCCAGCAGGCAACACCAGGCTCCAGCGCAAAGCCTCAGGGTTGTGAGCGTAAGCGACAACGACCAGTATTGCGGGTCCGTAACCCGACGCCGGCACGTCGTGTCGCTTTACCAACTTCTCCCGCCTCCTCCATCCCCGCCGAGCTCGCTCGCAGCGGACCATGTCCTGTCTTTCCCGTTGCTGCGAGCGGACTCAGCCGCGAAAACGACCCCAGGGTGGCCGGGGATAGTGGAGAGTCCGTTGGTGAGGTGCAATGTGCGACTTTGAGTGGTGCTGAACCAGTCGCCCTCGGGACTGCTCCTTGAGAACATCGCCATCCCGCCCAACCCCAAGTTTCCTCACCCTCTTTTCGCTTGACCCCCAGGCGAAGAACGCGACTTTGACTCCGGTGCACACTTTCTCCGGCCACGGGCAAGCTGGGAAAGCGGTGAGCGACAGCCGAGCGAGCAGAACGCAGAGCCACTCACAACTTGGGTCGGGCCCAAAGTGTTAGGGTTAACATCATGGGAATTTGACAGGTCACACGTCATGACGTGGCCGATCAGCACCGGCTTGCTTCTTTTCCTCCATCCCACTCGTGTCGCCCGACCCACCCCCCACCGCCTGCAACCTCGAAAAGACGTGCCGAACACGTCGAGCATAGTGCGTAGACACGACAAGCTGATCCGGACATGCAGCTGACTCACCACAGCTTATGGATAACTCATCGTGGGGCGCGTATCCTGGCCTGAGGCCGGAGTATGGGGCGGCAAATTGGACAGTGGGCGGCGGAGAGGGCGCGGGAGATGACGGTGGAAGGCACCCTGAACCGTGGTGTGTGATTAAAACCCTTGCTTTGCGCCATCTTAACCCATTTAACAGGACCTTACAGGCGGGTGTCGATCGACCTCGGCATCAGCTTCGCTGTCAATGCTGCCTGCTGGGTTTCATCCCGCTCCGTCAGCACCTTCGATCCCAGCCAACGATTTCCGATGGAGCCACATGCCGCCAATACTGCCATCACACTACCCACCATCGACACCTGCTTCTTCTGGCGGTCCAAACTGGGCACCATCCTTCACATTTGGCCAACGCACCCAGGCAGTGAACGCAGGGTATCCCCCACAAAAGTGAGTCTCACCATTATGGTTTGTGTCGCCGAAACACCGATTTCTCAGCAGCTATTACGGGGGCAACTCGTCAAGCACTATCGTAAACAACTCCTGGTAAGTACCGCGGCCGACACGGCCTATACCAGACCGAAATTCAGCAGGTCTGGACCCCAATTCGACTCCGCCCCGACTCCTCCGGTGGATGTAATGCGTGCGTGGGATATTGAGAACTGGATGTGAGTTCTTTGTTATTTCTATCTTATGCTCTGTTTTGGACACGTCTGATGACGTCCAGCCAAAACAGCACCATGTTTGTGTCCAAATTTCCGCTATCTCAGTATTCTCTAACTCCTTACCTGTAGCGCGTCACCGTTTTCAGCACCCGAGACCCCCGTTTCTCGCATATCAACGCCGTCGACACTTTTCTGGGTATGAACATTCATCGTAAGTCTGTCCTGCCGAGATCTTTTATCCCTTACTGAAACAACTCTGAGATCTTGGTCGTCGGCTTCTTCATCCGCCGATTCGAGTGACTTTGGACGTCCTGGGCTCTCTGCCCTTGATCCCGCCGACACAGCAAGGTGAGATGTCATAGTATTGTTTGCCTACCTGACATCATCATTTCATCCAGATGGAACGAGGCGCCTCTCGTCTTCGCTGAAGATGAGCCAGCGGGACCGCCTGAGTAAGTTTGCATTTGAAGATGAAGCGTTGAGTGACTTCCCTTAGAAATGTGCCCGAAACCATGCCCGCGGCTCTCCCGAATCCCATGCGTGCATCATGCGAAAGGCCGACGAAGAAACGATCTGGTGCTGCCCGCTCGCTGGAACTCGGGGACATCGGATCGCTCGACTCCCTCGACTGGCAGCCGTCAGATACCGATGGTTCGACGAGGGTGTTTGGTCTGAGGTCGTCGAGTTCCCGCAAGGCGTCAATTTCACAACGCAAAAGAAGTTTTTCAGGCTTGAACGTGTCCATGGCATGCCGTCCTGCCTCACTTCGAGCCGTCGCGGGCGACTGCGTTTCTCGTTCGTGTTCCGGATGGCTTGTTCCCATCGAGCATGACTGTCGACAACGTCTTTCGCAACCTGGTATGTGTGATTATTCCCAAGAATATCCAGACTGAAATGTTTTAGTGTCCGCATTCATTCTCCTCGTCGACGGGAAAGCGGAAGGACGTCGACAACTATATGTCGCAACCGCCTCCGCCAACCACCAGCCCTATTTCGTGCACTTGTTGGGTTGTGGTAAAGGCGTCCGCCAGTTGTGGCAAGCCTCTGGTTCGGACCGGCCGGCCGGAGCCTGTGGGAAATACCACGCTGGTGTCTTCTCTGCGCCTCCCCACTGTGCATGCGGGCCAGTGCGCGGAGTCTGGCCAAGTTCTTGTGTTGCTCAGCCTATTATTATCTATCCTATACATTGCATACCTTGGCTCCCCCAAATGTTAAGAAAGATTTATGGTGGCAAGATATTGTCGTCTCTGTACTCCAAGGCAGATTCACCTCAATTTTGACGGCCTGGCAAACTAAATACATGTTAG